TTTATTACTCTAAGCCTTTATAACTAAACCCTTGTCACAGTCAAGGCTAGTTATTCACACAGCGTATAGACATGAGGTGTAAAAGACGCAGAAAAAAATAGGGATTACAGACTAGGAGAATACGAGCTAGACTCTGTACTAAATGAGTTTAAACTACACATGTGGTAGAATAAACTTTGACGGTGCCGTCCGCATTGCCCAAAGTGAAAATCACGCCTGGAGTTGGCCGCCGCCAGTGAATCACAAAATGCTGCTGTGAGTCAGCCAGGGGAACTTGGACTTTGCTGAGCAAACTTGCGCCATGCAAACTCTTGTGTACCAATGGCTGGCTTGATTCAACAAGCTCACAATCTTGACTGATCTATAGACTTGCCGTACTGAATGGGGCAAGTCAGAGCGAAGCCAGATTTTGAAAAAGTCACTTGCCACCTCTCAGACCCAAGGTACTCACTTTCTTCACACCGTGTAATATAGTTCGATGTGCGAATATTCGTCACGGAGCGTCGACGTTGGGTGCGTTTGTAGCAAGTGACGTCACTGTCGACCTTGGTCCAAGCCCCCCATCCATCATCCTGAATTGAACTAGAGTCAATGGAGCGAAAGACGCTGGTAGTCATGGCGAGAGCTCAGAGCGAATGTAATGGCTTGCAATGATGTGTGCAGTCCGGTTGTCGGTGATTCTGATGGCGCCGGGGAGGTTTGAGCCATTATATATACGGAGTAGATTTGGACCATGTTCACGTTAAGTGCTCAAAATGAAAGACCATGTCCACTGTCAGCAATATATAATATCTAGGAAATGAATTATTCAAAATTATAGAATCTGCAGAATGTCATAAATCATCTCACATGTTGCGGGATCGTTGAGAAGCCGCACAATAAAGCTCGAGGAGTATGTAGAGTTGATCTACAATAGTTCCGCCCCTCGCATTTTATGAGGTCAAGTTACCTTGCCGGTCTTCCTCTGTTGCCAACATGGTTCCACGACACGGTAACCTATCCATTCGCCAATTCCAACCCCTCACGACTCCTCAACGGGAAGCCATACATCAAAGACGGTCTACACTTTGGGGACGACGGCAAAGCTCAAGCTAGGCGCAGTGTACGTTTCACTGGCGCGGATGGCGCCAAGTCGTGTCACGGCGGGCTGGATATTGCCATACCCGCCTTTGATTTCCCAGACCGACACGTCTTTCTTGGAACCCGACTTTTTGTCATCCCAGACGCTCGGGCTGCCGAAGCTGCCTGCCACTGCGAGGTCTCTCCGCACACACCAGACATCGCCGACGCTCGGCGCGGGCAACCAGCCGTCCTGGGCAACATCTCCAAGTGCCACGTAGCCAATGGGAGGAATTGGACGCCAAAAGGAGCCGTTCTTCTTGGCTTTGCTGCCCGCGTCCGTCCAGATCTGGGTGTACCCGGTGGGACTGGCCAGGGGAGACTCGCACATGCCTTCGGCGTTGATCTTCTGCGCCGCACAGTTGGGCGCGATGAGCACCGCCGAGTAGCTGCCGTTGATGTCCCTGTGGCTGCCGACGCCAACGCTGCCGACGGGTCGGAAATCGCGCTCAGAGTCGGGATGCCAGAAGCCGCCGTCGCGGGAGGCTTTGCTGCCAGCATCGTTCCACCTCGCGGTAAATGACGAGGTCACCTTTGCCATCAGCTCGCTGGCTGTTTGTTGATCCGACATAGTGTAGGTGGTGCCGATGCGAACAAAAGATGGAAGTAGGGGGGCAAGTGTCTTGATATCAGGTTGAAAGCCTTGGGTAGCAGCACTCGTGTTGTAGACTTGTAGTGTTGTGAAGTGAACGAGTCTTGCGATTCAGTCGGGATTCACACGGTATTTATGTTCAGCATGTGCGTTGCAACTTGGCCCAACTCGTCTGTTGCTTCGGTGCCCATCTGCACCCATGGCATCTTGCCCAAAGCTGGAGGACAGGCGGTGACTTCACCGATGTTACACCTACATGTGTGACGTCTTCCGAAAAAGCTCCACGGCAGGCCATGACTTCACCGACGATGCACAAAGCACCGGGGACAAACCAGCCAGCCCTCTTGCATCGGAATGATGAGAACCGAGCAACGCCTCCGTACCACCTGATCCGTATAAAGGGTGACACGGGGAGACGATCATGGGCCACAATACGCTGTGCCAGCAAGCAACAACCGCACTGAAAATGAGTTCCTGGTACATCAACTCATACCCGGCCTGTGGGTTCACAGCAGGACGATCTCAACAGCATAGCTGGCCAACCGGCTAAGCAAGCCCTTCTAACCGTCTGCACAAAGTATTGGGTAGCCCTCGTGCACGACAAAGCAAGTCGTGTTCAACTTGAGCTACAGCTAGCTATCTCGCGATACACGACGGGCTCCCATGCCGGTCTCATGCTCGTCTACTCATCCACGCCCCGCGATTGAATAACGTCAACAATGCTCGTCTTGCCCAGACGCTCAGCCATCTGCACCGGCGTCTCTCCTCGATCGTTGACCAAATCCGTCCTCGCCCCTCGCCCAAGTAAAAACCGCACAAAGTCACTCTGCTCAGCCGGGCCGCCGCGGCGCATGCCGCCCTCGACGGCAAAGTGCAGCGCACAGCCCAACGGCACCCGGACGAGCTGCATGCTGTCGTCATACTCTTCCCTGGCAAACACCTCGTTGATGTCGGCGCCGTGCCCCAGGAGCGTCTCTGCGGTGCGAGCTCGCCAATAGTGCGCAGCCTGCTGAAGGGCCTGCGATCCCGGCACCAGCGCCCCGTGTGCGACGAGGGCGCGCAGCACGTCGTCGGTCGGCTGCCTCGCCGCCACGCCTAAAAGGCTGCTGCACATGTAGGTGCCGTTGGGATCGGCGCCCCTGGCGAGCAAGTATTCCGTGAGCGGGAGCTGGTTGCTGGAGACGGCCTGGGCCAGGGGCGAGCCGGCGTAGCCCAAGCCGACATTGGGGTTCATGCCGTAGTTGAAAAAGACGCGGAAGAGCCCGACAGGGTCCTTGCCGCCAATAGCCTCGTGGATAACGCCGTCTTCGTAGACGTGCCACTTGTCGGGAATGTCAGTGCAGCTGTATCCGTCTGGCAAGGGGGGATCCCAGCGCTTGTTCGGCCGGGCTACACAGCCGGGGAGGCGCTCGAAAAGGAAGCGAATGCACTCTGCCTGGCCTTGCTTGGCGGCAGTCTGGAGAAGGAAGCCGTCTGTGGGGAGATGGGCCGGGTCCCGGTTCAAGTCCTGGACCGCCTCGAGCAATGCTTCCAGATGGGGGATATCGCCGGCAGAGGATGCCTCGACAAGCTTCTGGGCTTGCTCTTCCAATTTGCGTGACTGGGAGGGAGACCCGTGTCCGTTGCTTATGACGCCCATGATGACGTTGCATAGAGGTGGCCAACAATATATGGGTTGGGTTTGAGTTGGTACGGGCGCGGGTTTCTTTGACGACTTGGGGGGAGGGGAGGTGGCCGGGCTTTGAAGCGGCGAGTCACGCGCATAACCCAGCACGCCGGGGTGTACGCATGTCTTGAATATAAGGGTAACCACGGGCTCCTTGTCGCCAGACACGCCAGCGCTGAGAGGGGGTCAGCCTGCATAATACGAATAGCATCTCCTGATATCAACATGGTTATCGAAGGCTCGTCCTCCGGCTAGGCCCGGTGCGGCACTCCACTTCCCCGAGCCCCGGCCGGCCGGGACCGGAAGACCGCCTAGCAGGCAAGAGAAGGAACATTGAATTCACACAAGTTACGTTTCCTGCTGGAATTTACAATTCCGCTCGTTTTGGGAAGTCATGCTCAGACAGCAAGCAACAAGCCAGTCATGTAGAGCAGCATGTAGCCGCCGCAGCGGATATATTGAGAACCATCTAGGCGGCCGCGACTACTGTATAAAAGAGCTGCTACCTATGTAGACTAACAAAGCAAGCAGAAAGGAAACTGTGAAAAGGCAGACTAGTGCACCCTCACCTTGGCAGCAGGATCCTCGCCGATTCCGCGGTCTTCGTCACGCCATGCACGCGTTAGAGACAACTTTGGGGCCAATTCCCGCCCGCCGCGCCGATTTAGGCGGCAATCGTCTTAATGAAGCCGTCCTTCTTGGTGGACTCGGCCTTGTAGACGACATACTTTTGAAATGCTCGTGACCTGCTTGCCCTTGAGGGACTGGACGAGAATCGACTTTTCGACCCTGCACCAGACCGCCTGGCACTTTTTGAGATCCTTCTGCTCGACCGCACGCTCCTCGGTGAAGTATCCGTACACGTCGCCCTGGGCTAGCTCGGCCATGACCTCGGAGATGGGGTCCCAGAACATTTTAAACGTCTCGGCCCAGTCCTTCCAGTAGCCGCCCTCGGTGGGCTTCTTGCACATGTCCTGGTCTGTCTTGGGCCGAATTAACATGCCTACTGTGAATCGTTTATTTTTGGTTGCAAAAGACTTGGGTTGGCCCTCGGTCACACCGTACCAGATAACAATCGCGGTGTAGCCGACGTATGCTGGCTGCTTTTCGAGGTTAACCAAGTAGACTTTCATGTCCGTTTTTGTGAAGGCACTTTATCCCGTCGCTCGACCAGGCGGTAGTCATATCTGGCGTCGATGGGACGTCGGAAGGCTCAGCCGGCGAGATGCTCGTCTAGGCCGCCTACGTCGACGGCATGTCGTGCCAAGTCACCCTCTAATGGATTATTAGCAAGCGGTCAAGGCTGTATTCTCAACATGTCTCTTAGAGCAGGCCCTGTTGTGCCGTTCTCGGTTCTAAAACGCGATCATGTCCATGGATGATAACCTTTGCCGCACCGTGTAGTGTGGTAATGCACATCCGCATCACACGAGCCGACTCGTATACTTGCTCTTGTATATTGTACTCGATGAGATAGGCGATGTCGTCTTGGTCGAATATAGTACAAGGTTGGCCTGCCGATTCCGGTGAAAACCTCCATATTGGTCTTTGGCCGCCTACCAAGTCATGCATGAAACTAGTTCCGGAAGTGCACTGTGTATTCTCACATAAGAGATATTCGGGACTGCTCCTTTATTTTCCTTCTGGTTTCAAGCCTTCGACCTTGAGAGCTATTTTGTCGAGAAGTTTTGGTGGAGTCTGCTGCGGAGGAGGGTCTGAATCTGAAAAACGAGGAATACTCCGCACGAAGTGTGAGATTGTTACTATAAGCTTCCCAGGGCGCTGTTGCGATTAAATATGTAGTGCAGTCCAACAGGCTCACCATACCATCTCTTGACCGAGTCATGGTTTACACTTGACGACCTAGCTCTTCTGCTTTTAGACTAACCGCCCTGACAATCCCTCTCGGTGGCTAGAACAAGAACATGACACGAGTCAGGGCGGCGTAAATGCCTACAAAGAGCTAGGATAACAATGCCAAGCAAGGAAGGTCGGAGACTCGAAGCCAAGAGTACTCTTTGGGGCAGCATAAGAGTTGACGTATTGCTGCAAATTCTCTCCAGTGGTAGATTTAACATCATCAATCACCGCGGGCATTGCTAAGCGTCGAGGATTAATGTCGATCAACACTGTTCGACTTGTAGTACCCTTTTTACTCTTTCCTTGGGAGTAGAAATGCATGTAAACCAGTACCTAAACAAAGACAGTAAGCGCAGGCCAACAGGGTGGCATCGCCCCCATCGCGACAACTTGCAGAATCTCATCCCATGTCAATACGTGGCCAATAGATTCCAATAAGAACCAGCACCTCGACATGTCCCCCGCTCCCATCCCCTCATCTACTCCGACTTTGGACCCTTGTCCCGCGGTCCGACGCCGATGCCAAGAACAACCAAGACACGAACGACCAAGAAGGGCACCGTGGCCCATAACACCAAATGATCGTCCAGCGTCCAGGCCGACAGGTCAGCCCAGCTCGTCCAGCCGCCGACGGCCTGCGCAGCCGAGTGGCAAAAGGCGACATCGCTGACCAGCATGCCGGCGCACAAGAGCCGCCAGAGCCGCACGTCGTCGCAGGCGCGCATCACGACGGCCTCGACAAACGCAAAGTACAGCCAGGCGCCCCCCAGCAAAGTATACAGGAAGGTCGACTCGGCGGCAAACGTGCCCCCGTGGCGCGTCACCGTCGACAGGTACCTCTCGGGCGCGAGGAGCACCAGAATCGCACCGTTGACGGCAAACAGCGGCTCGACCACGGTAAGCAGGAGGCGGTAGGAGAGCGGAACGGAGTCCGATGCTGATACTACGTTCCGAAGCGGCATGTTTGCGTTTTTCCGTAGAGCTTGCGATGGGTTGATGTTGGGGATATGAAGTTAAAGTTTGAGGGCGGGGTTTATTCGTCATCTCTTGGTAATTAAGCCATCCATCACTCAGCCTGAGACACTTGGACTTTAATTTGTTTGTTTGTTTTAAAAAAAGAAAAAAACTATGAATGACGGGTCTGTCATATTTTCTTGCACTTGAATGTAGACAATGCACAAAATCGCATCTTGGCTGCATTTGACCAAGACTCGATTTACGGAGCTATTCGCGTTTTGTACAACCCTAACCCCAAGACTTTCTCCGTACGAGATCCGGTGCAAGGCTATAAGCGAGAAATGGCAAAGTCCCCAGGAGCCACTTTTGCCGATAAGCTTACCTTTGGGGATAATGGGATCAATAATGGGGACGCTCGGCAAAACGTAAGCCACGCGGAATGTGTTCGAGATTTGTCAACGGCCACACGAGAGCGACCGCACAATACAACAGGAACAGCATGTGCGAGGCGTGCATTCATACAACTAGCCAACTACCTGACGCTGGTGATGGTAAACAAACAAGTGCTTTTCGTCGATAACCTGTCAACGGCCAACTACCGAGTCTCGTATAGTTTGCGTTTGTTGGCAAAACTTTACCTCACCCGTTGGCAACTAAGCGGCTCCTCCACCTAGTCGCCAACGGGTAGGCATGCTCGGGCCTTGGGTTCGTGTACCAAGATGCCTGTCAATACGTGCATCAGCTATCGATGGCGGAATATCGGTCTCGGTACCGAGTACCATCAACACATGGTGGGCCAGGGTTGGGAAATGAGCAGAAAACAAGATCTGATTCCGGCGTCATGCTCCCAAGTTTCAGTCAGCCGGGGGTCCATACACGGATTCGGCTGTGCAAACAGACCCCGGCATGATTCTGCCACGAGGACTCCCCCGGGCGGCTATTTTTATCAACGGCAGACCCTGGATGTCAGACGACGGGCGAGAGGGTAGTAGTGTCGAGCTTATAACGCCAGAATATCCTTTGACGTGATTCTAGAAATCACCAGGGCGCTCTTTAGCCCGAGGCAGCGGATAGTGCCTCTTCACCCAACCCAACTAGAGTTCGACTCCATGTCGCCGCTTCTTGGACGCAGGGGCTTCACCAATGGAATTCCACCGTCGCAGGTAAACCAATGCACAACCTGGAAACACGATGGAAGCCAGGCCCACCAGCCGAGTGGGTTATCGTATGTGCACAGCTGGGACATGGTCTTGCCGGGAACCGAAGCCGGCGTCGTGTTTCAACCCCATCTATTCCATCTGAGGCGAGTGCCCCTGGGACCTGACTCGGCTTCTCTACACACTTCTCAGCGAGACCACGTGTTGGGAGCAAGGAAGATGGCGTAACATTGAAACTCCAAAAAAAGGGCAGCGACCTGTTATTACCGTGACTTGGGATGCCATTGCCTCAACACCCAGGTTGTAGAGCCAGAGAGAGGGATACCCAGTCTTGACAGCCCTCGAGCCAGCGGGACCTAGGAAAACAGACCCGCGTCCAGCTTCGCTGCTCCTGGCTATTTGCGTCGACCCCAGCTCTTCGTGTCCGCCGTTTGTGCGCCTGTGTGCGTGTGTGTTTCACGATCAGCGTGCGTAGTCCAAGCGGACGGACAGGCCTTGGCGTCTCAAAGAAATTGAACATTGAAACCTTAATAACAGGCGACTCGCATTAAACTGCATGCACCTTCTAACTGCACCCGGCAACTATCGGCAGCGACCTGGCTAAAGGGGGACTGGCGTGCCTGGACTCTGGCGCCCTGCAGACCAGTCTTCCCTGCCAAAGGAATTGGCTGGCTAGACAGCAAACCAGACCAGCTCTTTTCGGGGGCAGCGGAGAAGAGAATTCTGCCCACCTGGGCCTTTGCCACCGTTTATGCGTTGCGAGAAGCTCGCTAGAAGGTGGTCGACTTTCCGATGTCAAGCCCAGTTGGACGCCACGACAAGGGGTGGTGATTTTGTTGTATTGACAGTACGTTGTTACTCAAAGAGGACAGAAAAGCAAAAAAAAAAGAAATCCAGGTCGTGCCTATTGTAACCCTTACAAACTCAGACGACCTTTTCTCGGCCCAAGTCAAGACTTCTCACCCGCCAAGCCAAGTTATCGAGATCACACGTGGCCAAGGGTCTTGCATCTTGATGCCGTGCGCAGCAGCAGCGGCATGATGGAGCGGCCTCATGACCTGTCCATGCACAACAGGTCGCTGGTGGTGAGGGCAGCGACGCTGTTTTTGATGGTGGTCGGGCTGCTGGCCTGCCTGACGCGCATCTCGATGAAATGGTTCACCGTCAGGAGGCTGGGCCTGGACGACCAGCTCGCCATGGCGGCAACCGTAAGTGCCGCCCTTCGCCCCGAGTTTCCCTGTTCCCCGAGGCCGGCATCACGGGCGCTGACGATGCGAATTTGGCGGCGATGCTTCACAGGCCCTGGCGGTTGCGCAGTCTGTCGTGGTTGTTGCGGAAGCGGACCGCGGGCTCGGCCAACACCTGGATGACCTGCGCCGCGACCAGCTTACGTATGTTCTCAAGGTACGATGCACTTTTCATGTGGCAGTCATTTTTTGGGCTTGGCCCTGGGCTTACCGCAGAGTCGATAGGCCGAATATGCTGCCAATGCCCTCTTCCTTGCCAGCATGACGCTGGCCAAACTGTCCGCCATCACGACGCTCTGGGTGCTCGCGCCGTTGTATCACAGACGCACCGTCCTCATTACCTGCTCCTTCATCATCCTCTGGGCCTTTACGTCGATTGTCCCCGCCCTTTTGCAGTGCGACCTGCCCATTCCGTGGGACTACATTGCCGGCCAGTGTTTCCAGCGAGTATGTATCCCCCCCAGGCATCCTCTACCGATGTTGACTGACGGCTGTGCAGACTGCCTTTTGGATATACGTCGCCATCGGAGACATCTTGACCGACGTTGCCATTGTGGCCATCATGTTTACGATTTCCTTCCAGCTCCAGCTGCCGCTCCGCAAAAAGATGCTGGTAGGAGGCGTGTTTGGGAGCCGCATCCTGTGAGTCTGCCCAACCCCGGCGGCCGCGCAGAGCGTCTTTTGCCCTCTCGTCAAGTCTCAAAAACTAACAACGCACGCCAGAGTCACGCCCGCCATCATCGCGCACATGGTCGTCTTTCACGGCCTCTACGACGAGAGCGACGCCACGTTCAACATGTTCCTGCCGACCATCCTGACGCAGGTGGTGCAGTGCCTGAGCATCGTGACGGCGTGCGTGCCGTACCTGAAGCCGTTCCTCGACAGCTTCCAGTCGGGCGCCATGCTCGCCGTCGACGCCTCGTCCCAGAACACGGGGGCCAAGAGCAGGAGCGGCAGCGGCAAGTTCGCGGCGGCGGCGTCGGCGCAGAACAGCAGCAAGCACGGGGGCCGCGGCGGCGGCGACATTGAGCTGACGAGCATTCCGCGCGCCGCTCAAGCCTCGAGCTCCAAGCCGGCCACGACGGCGACGGTCACGGCGAACCAGGGCGATGTCAGCGCCGAGGGATGGGACAGGCGCAGCCACACGAGCCAGACGGTCCTGGTCCAGCAGTCCTGGCAGGTGGACATTGAGGCCAAGTCGCCGGTTCGTGCGAGCAGGGCGAATACATAGATAGCACAATGTCATCGTGTATGTAACATCAATGTCCTCTCATTCCCCTGGGTTGGAGCCCCCTTCCTTGGTCAGGGAACAGTCATGACCCTGGCCCGGCGTCTTGCATGCTTCATGCGACGAGTCGACGACGACCAACCATGTCGTCTCGATGCCGAGCCTCTGTGCCCCCTGATCCTTGCTCATCGTGTTCGACCGACTGCGTTGGCTGGGTTATGCGTCATGCGCGCTAATGCGGCTCGTGCCATGAACCCTGGCCCCCGACCAGGTTTGACCCTGTTGGATCGTCGACGTGTTGAATCTGCCGAAACTGATGTGCGAGTAAGGTAAGTCAATGGGGTAGCTCCTGATCTCTGGTCAGGAGAGAACGTCGGTCGTGGCAGCAGCAACAGCGACAACAACAACACCAACACATCATCACCATCATCATCACCACCGTGTGCCTCGCCGGATACTAGTCCATGCCACAATGAGTCTACGACGAGAGGGCTACGCCCTCGACGACATGACGGGCAGCAAGACGGCCTCGATGACGCGGGCATCCCAAAAAGACGTCGACGACCGCCATCAGCTGGCCCGGCTGGGCAAGAAGTCGGTCCTCAGGGTACGGTGCCGCACAACATCAGCTCCCAGGCAACTCCGGCTGACTTGTCCCTCTGCTCACAGCGCAACTTTGGCTTCCTCTCGACCGTCGGCTTCAGCTGCGCCGTCCTCATCACCTGGGAGGGCACGCTGATGAGCTTCGCGCCGGGCCTCCTCAACGGCGGCTCCGCGGGCCTCATCTGGGGCTTCCTCATCGTCTGGCTGTGCAACATCAGCGTCTTCTGCACCCTCTCGGAGTTACTGTCTATTGCGCCCACCTCGGGCGGCCAGTACCACTGGGTGGCCATGCTGGCGCCGCGCCGCTGCTCCAAGTTCCTCAGCTACATCACCGGCTGGCTGACGATAGGAGGCTGGCAGGGCGCCTGCGCCTCGGTCGGATACCTCAGCGGCACCATGATCCAGGGCCTGGTCGCCTTCAACCACGCCGGCTACGCGCCGCAGCCGTACCAGGGCACCCTGATGCTGTGGGCGGTCGTCGTGCTCGCCGTGCTGTGCAACACGGTGCTGAGCGCTCACCTCCCCAAGCTCGAGGGCATGCTGCTCGTCGTCCACATCATCGGCTTCTTTGCCATCATCATCCCGCTGGGGACCTTTGGCGACCACGGGAATGCGAGGGATGTCTTTACCACGTTCCACAACGGCGGCAACTGGTCCTCCCAGGCCTTGTCCAGCTTCGTGGGCATCGTGGGCAGTGTGTTTTCGTTTGCAGGTACGAGTTTCCCCCCCGGCAGTGCCAATCTGTTGACGGTACGTTTTGTACAGTATATTTTGCTCATCAGGACCTTGGTCAAAAGGTGTCGATTGCACGTTTCATGTGAGTTTGAAGCCAGACATGTCTTATTAACTCCCCCCCGGCCGACAACACTCACCAACACGACCGAAACAGATGTGCGAAGAAGTCCGAAACCCGTCGCTCGTCGTCCCGCGGTCCATCATCATTAGTATCCTGATTAATGGTTCTCTTGGCCTTTCCATCATCATCGCCATGGCCTTTTGCAACTCCGACATCGAGGCCGCCTTGGCGTCATCCTCGGGCTATCCGTTCATGGAAATCTTCTACCAGGCGGTGGGTTCGCGAAGGGGCACCACTGCCATGGCCTCCATCATCATTTTCATGACTCTCGCCTCCGTCATTGGTGTCATTGCCACCACGTCGCGCATGTTCTGGGCCTTTGCGCGGGACCGCGGCCTGCCCTTTTGGCGGACTCTGTCCAAAGTAGGCGCTCGCAAGACATCGAGTTTCCTGCATGTGAAGACTAATTCTTTTGTGCGACGTAGGTTGACTCTACTACCTGTGTCCCCGTTTGGGCGATTCTCACCACGAGCACCATTTCCTGCCTTCTCGGGCTCATCAACATCGGCTCGCAGGTCGCCTATAACGCTCTTGTTTCTCTCGCCATTTCCTCTCTGTACTCATCGTACCTCATGGCCGCTGGTTTGCTTTTGTACCGTCGCTGCACCACGGGTTTCAGCATTCCTGACCCGTCTTCTCTTCCGGCCGTGGCTGAGACGACGGGCAAGGAGCTGGTTTGGGGGCCGTGGCATCTTCCCGGTGTTGGGGGCATTATTAACAACGTCATCACTTGCGTTTACCTGAGTATTATTTTATTTTTTAGCTTCTGGCCACCCTCTTCAGAAGTTACGCCAGACACTATGAACTTTAGCATACTGATTACAGGGTCCTTGGTATTATTTAGCACGGTGTACTATTTGGTTTGGGCTAAGAAGGACTACAAGGGCCCTGTTCTGGAAACTTAGGAGCCTAGTGACAGGTGATGGCTGGTTTGTTTCCAGAGTTTAGGCAATGCCTCGAGACAGTGGAGGTCCGTCAAATAGAATCTATATAGACCGATGTAAAAGTTTGAATAAAGCCCATGCGCCTGTGCAGCTAAGTCATCTGCGACAGGAACTGGGAAAGACTTGAGTAATAACTCTATTAAACTGCAATAATCCTCTTTAATATCAAAGGCCCTTGGCTTTCTCAAGGGCCTTGGGGACGCAAGGGTCTTGGTTATACAAGTAGCCATTAGCCTCAAGGCCTGAGGCCACAGACGCCCAGCCTTCAACCAGCTCTCCAAGTCGTTCTACAACCATTGTCATCTTCAGGCTCATGATACACATCAAGCTCAACGTATCCAAGGACAATTACTTGCCCAGCTTAACCTCCGATCACGGGACGTAAGCAAGGCCCACCTGAAACAGAGCATACACTCCGGGCGCATACGACTTCCAACCCGGCTTGACGATTCCCAAAATGGTAATATCCGACGCCAAAAGCTGACCGTGCAGCGCTGCCAAGACGTCGGTCAGCCTTTAGTTCAATTGACATTACTACACGACGGCAAAGCATTTAAAACTGACCCAGGGCGACCATCTCTCACCTCGTACATATTTTCAGCCCTCCTCTTCAACGCTCACATGCGTCCAACACTCCTCCCACGGCAGATGTCGTTCTGCCAACCAAGAAAAGACTTTGCATGAACCGCGAGCATGCCATGAAATTCCGGTCCGAAAAAGCACGGCACCCCAAAAGAAAGAAATAGACGGCCGAGAAAATCAAGGTCAGCACTCGCCAATATGCCACGGCCATCTGAGCCACTGCGTGAAGCGCTCCTGAACATTGCGCGATTGGTGTGGACCTTTGTCGTCATCGCCACATTTGTAACCGCATGGCTGGTCCAAGGGGAGGTGATCAAGACACCGAAATGGGCTAGGGACTGGAGCGGCGAGACCCCCGAAGCGCAGAGGGAATACGCCGCCGCGCTGATGACGCCCGTTTGCGTCGTCTTTTTGCTGTTTGCCGTGGCGGGTTATATCCAGATGAGGAGAGAAGACACGAGGCTTGTTTGAGTCACGGATGGTTCTCGATCCGCCCTCAACGGGGTTAGTGGCAGCGATCTGCGTTCAGATGGAGTGGGCATTGGCCGCCGAGCTGCTTTGCTGCATTTGATCACAGTACCAGTACTGTAGATGATGACAAGCCAAGCCCTGATGACTATGATTGCGGTAGCGCCCGATACTGCGTGGCACGCGGGAGGATGATGACGGGGATGGGTTCCTCCATGAGGATTTTACGGAGTAAATACGGGATGGGAGAACGGGGAAATGGCGCATCTTGCGCAAACACACGAAATTCATGCGATATCCGCATTTCGAGAAAGCAGTGATGTGTCTATGGACACGGGAGTTACGATCACGAGACATAGAGCATGACTCAGCGACTTGTTTTCTAAATATTTCTCTTTGGTTATGTAGACTTTGAAGAAAATTAGGGACCTTGCTACCAAAGATGTTATTAGATGAATGGAGTTATTGACTCCAAGCCCTACTGAAGACTTTTCACAGATCATGCTAGGGTTCGATTTGGAAACCTAGAGTTGAGCAAAGGCAAAGAACTCCCTGTCTCGATGCAGGTTCGTTGAATGATATGAGCAAACCTCTTACGAATTGCTGTCAGGGACTGCAAATATGCTAGCTAGAGCGCTGCAACGTATGCAAGTACGAAAATAATACAATAGTACAATTACCATGCTTCTTGTATACAGGAGTGATTTGCGACATGGATCACTACTTACTAGTCATGGGCTTCGCCTACAAACGACAACAGTATAACAAGTCCAGAGAGATGGGCTGTGCAGCTCTCAGCACAGTGTGATAGCTTGAATTCAGGAGGTTGTATTGCTGTATAAAACTACCTAATTGGAACTTGGAAGGAGCCATATTTTTATTGGTATAAAAGGGCTCATGACTATGAATGAGAATGTAAAGGGTGAGCTGAATTTAAGAGGTTAGAATTTAACCTACATGATTACGTCAAGTCTCTAGACAAAATAAGCAGAGGGAAGAAGTTACTTTTATATCCATGGTACAAGCCAAGCCACCATGTTACTCATGTGAGAGGAGAGTTATAAACATGCTTTGCTATATATCCATAAAATATATAATCATCAAGTATTTAAAGTTGACACCAAGCGTATCATATTTCACTCCGATATTTGCACTACAAAGCTCCCGTGTTAAACTCGAGGATGCATCCCACCTCGCATCTCAACACCGTCACTCATTCTCGCCCTCGCATCATCTCACCACATAGCGTGTCTACCTTTCATCCCCGCCCTTCAGCGCAGGATACTCTGGAAACGTAAGCTGCTCACTCTCCTCAGGACTAAACCAGCCAAACAGCCTCTCGATACGCACCACGGACAACACCCAAGCCACCGTCTGAACAATCCATATCCCCCACTCCGTCTCCGGCAGCATCAGCCAGCCCAGCTCGGGCACGTTTTGCGCCCTCGCAATAAACGGCCTCATCAGCCGCTCGTACTCGCGCGCCGCGTCGCCGAAATCAACCCGCGCCCCCTCCCTCTCGGCGTCGCACCACCGGCCGGCAACCTCTCCGGCGAGGACGTAGGCGCCGACCAGGGCCGCCGTCGTGCCGAGCCCGCCGCCCATGGGTGTCGGGCAGTACGCCGCGTCTCCCAGCAGCACGACGCTGCCGCGCGACCAGCACCCCTCGGGCAGCCTGATCTGGCTCATGTGCTGCGTGTACAGGTCGTCCGCCTCGGGGGCGTGCAGCAGGCCGTCGAGAAACCGCGGCATGGGGGGGTAGTCGCGAAACGGCTCGAACCTCTGCGCCCACGCACGCTTCCGGTCCTGCAGGCTGCCCGACCTATCCGCGGCGTCGAGCTCCGCGCAGTCGCCGTGCACGACAAGAGACACCCTCAGGGTCTCGGGGCGGTCCTTGCGGGTCATGACCAGCCTCCGGCCGGGGAGGTGACACGCCGTCCAGGGCCGGGGGTCGTCCTGCCGCGCGGGGATCGTGAAGTAGGCCGCGTGGGCGCCCAAGTCGTGGCGCGGATCGGGGAACAGAGGGCCCAGCATGAGCTTGCGCGTGGGCGAGCCGACGCCGTCCGCGCCCACGACGAGGTCGTACGTCTCGCTCGTCTGGTCCGAGAGGACGACGTGCACGCCGGGCGAGTCCTCGCGCTGCTCCAGGCACTCGACGTGCAGGCCGAAGCGGTACGTGACGCCGTCGAGACCCCTGGTGGCGTCGTACAGGATGCGCACCAGGTCGCCGCGCATAAACTCATACTCGCTTGTGGCGCTCTGGCTGCCCTTGCCGCTCCTGTTTGCCGGGAAGTACGCCCTCGGCCGGCCGCTCCGGTCGACAATCTGCGTGCCGGGCTCGTCGCACAGGACGGCGCGCACGGCGGCCTCGATGCCCATCCTTCTCATGAGCACGATGCCCTGGCCGCGCAGGTCGACTTGCTGGCCGGTGTCGCGGAGGGCCGCGTCGCGCTCGACGACGGTCGTGTCGCATCCGATGCGCGCGAGCCAGAACGCGAGCGCCGGGCCGGCGATGCCCGCGCCGACGATGAGAACCTTGGGAGTAGGCATTGTTTCATCGCCCTGGCTGGTGCGGGCTGGTGTTGCAAACCAGGTTAAAAAGGACCTTGCAGTATATCTACCTCTTGACGGGGTTAGTCATGATGAAGCTGAAGCAGCTTGATTCTCCGTGTACGCGTGTCTCGGGACCGGAGCCAGATGTTTGTGCCACCGCGGATTCCACTCGGGACCGAACCCATGTCCTGCATTAAGCGTCAAGTCGGACGTATTTGCTTTTTTTACTTATTACCACTTGATGATAAGCCGACTACGTCTACTCGTGTAACGCCTAATAATAATTGGTTTAATTATAGCCTTTACTACTTATAGTAGTACTTGATATTACTGTGAATGCTTACGAATATAAGCTACATTTTAGCTATTTTTTAAGCTGATATAGTAATACTAATTCTAGGATACAGCTTTTAAGCAGTATATTACATTGACGTATTAATAGTCGGCCAGGCCTCCTTTTTCATTATTTCTAGGTCATCGTTCTCGTCGAGGTACTAGCACTATTAGAGCACTAAAAAACGCCGTCGGTTAAGTCAATCAGCTCCGTCATGGATGGTCAAAGTGGCGTCAGGCTCGTCGTCGTCAACGATGTCTTAATTGACTGGTCTTCAGCGCCACGTTGACGCCTATCCGCGGCGTCGAGAAGCTGCAAATCGCTGCTGTCAATCATCTCCACTTGACTCGCAGTTAAGGTCAAGTCGGTAATAGGGTTCGGACTAGGCGGGCCACGACGAAGCCACCTCGGGCCATATTTGCCGCCCCCTCCAAACGATCGAAAGCCAGTTGGCGTCCTGTCACTTTGCTTCTGGGAACCCAGTGAGAGCATTAAGCCAAACACTTGGGTAAACCAGCGCGCGAAGCGAGGGAATACTATAGGAAGGTTGGTCGTGACAACTGCGACGAAGACCTCTCGAGAAGCCCATAAACAGGCAAGGCGCGAACCATCGATGGGGTCCTGTAATAACACAATATAACGTATTAGTAAGTGAGTGGCCAAAGAGCTGAGAGTTGGGGGGAACTAGTTAGGAGAACAAGTAGGGAGACCTTACAGTAAACACCAGGACAGAACGAAGCACAGCACAAACTGCAACTAATAAACCGCCGCTGAATAGCACTATAAGCCCTATTTTTTTTATGGGTTTAAAAGAGGATCGCCAAAGCAAGGGGACTGGTATAGATATCAGATATAAGTCGGTAAAAATATTAAGCGACATGTTGACCCAAATAATTTGGCTGGACACAGTCGGCTGACAAATATCTAGAAAGTAGTAGAACAGTTAATACAACGTGACCTGACCAGTGTAGGCCACGGAGCAGGCACCTACTCCCGGGATCTGGCTGAATCTGCCAGTATTTGTAGAAAGGGCGGCATGCAAGAAGGAGGTTTACTAGGACAGCAATCCAGCTTGTAATAAGCAAACCAAAGCCGACGTAGATGCGAACAGCGTAGTGGCGTCCAAGGCCTTCCTGCTTGACGCGTCACTAATTGATACAAGAAAAACTCGTGTATGGCCGCTACGTACCGTCAATTGCAGATACAAGAACAAAAGTGATGCTTTCAGCGCCCAGAGACACGCCATATAACTCACCCAACGCCCAATCTGAAACTTGGAGCCCATTACCCTATGCGCGAGTTAGGAACTGGTCATCCATTGAACATTTAATGCTCTTTATCTTGGTCTGGGTATTCGACCCAGGTAATAACGAACCGTAGCTGAAACTCGGCATCATCCGGTGCGAGTGCGGCTCGCTGTTCGTCCGCCATGCTGGAATTTGTCAGGGCCCAGGCCATGTAGCCGATGCACACCGAAAGCGTAGTGAGAATGGCATAGAATAGCTGACATGTGTTAGCGATGTGTGGAATTGCCTATTATAACATGCAAAAACATACCGCTCCAACCGACGCTAGGTAATCATCGGCTCGAAGGCCTTTGAAACCCGCGGCTCTAGCCCGACCGCACACCCTAATAACTGTTGCCAAAATACCAATCGCACAGAGCGTCACTTCTTCAATCGTTACGGTTGTAATGCTCGCTATCCAAGCCTCGCTAGGTTGGAACGGAACGGCAGGCGGCATAGCAGGACCTTGGAAAGTGTTTGATGTCGTCTGGATTCCAGATTAAACGTCGAGAGGAGAGGAATAATAACAACACCAGGCTGTTGAGAAGGGAGAAAAAGGCTCCGGAGGCTATATATCGAGCCCTAAACGTTCAACTACACTACAGCCTTCTTGGTTAGGGGTTACCGGTAATCGGCGACCAGACGCTTTCCCGGCGGTAAAACGCCAGGCGTTACCGGACAGGCCGGTGAGGTCACGCCAACATGGAGCTCATGGCTAATAGTGACAGCCACGCAGCCACCACCCCTTCGTCTGAGAGAGGGGTCTGGTGGGACTACGAGCACGATTGGATAGAAGTAGGAAACACAAAATGCGCCCCAGCCAAATATTGTAGAGTCAGTATTAGATAGAAATATAGGGTAAGTTGACTCATGTCGCGAACCAACATGGAAGGTTCAAACAGAAAAAACACCAGCCAACAACGACCAAATCACCGATCCGGAACTACAAGACCCCCCCAGCCATAAACGTCACAGCCCTTCGAAGAAAGTCTGTCACCTCCCGCGCGCCTTCCTCCTTCAACATGTTGAAATGGTGCGCCCCCTCGACCACGTCCATGACCACATTCTCCCCCCCAACCAGCTCATCCCAGCCGTTGGCATCCACCACCGCCCGCCTGTGCAGCAGCCACAGCAGATTATCCGGATCATCAGGCCAAATGTCAATCAGGCCGCCCTCGTCGACGCCGTGCCTCGCCCACAGGGCCCAAGTAGGCAGGGCCCTGGGCGCCGCCCACCCGCGCGGCCTGTACGTGTCCAGAATGTCGGCGAACAAGACAAAGTGCGCGGCCAGCCAGGCGGGCGGCCTCCTGCCGCCGGAGCCAAACAGGGCGAGCCGGTCCAGCTCGGCGTACAGCCGGGGCGGCAGCTTCTTGAGCCCCACGGGCCGGGGGCTGTCGAGCAGGACGAGCCCGTCGACGGCGTCGCCCTCGGCCGCGAGCCGCTGGGCGGCGTCGTACGCGCAGATGCCGCCCGCCGACCAGCCGCCGACAATGTACGGCCCCGTGGGTTGCCGCCGGCGCACCTCGGCTACGTACGCCGCCGTCAGCTCCTCGAACCGGCAGGCCTTGCAGTCGCCGCGCCGGACGTAGGGGCTGCTGAGGCCGTACACGGCCACCCCGTCCCCGCCCACGTCGGGCAGCGGCAGGTACGACGTCGCGGAGCCCGAGCCGTCCGGGAACAGCCACACCTTGCGCGAGCACGTCGCCGGGTTTCCCTGCAGGAGGACCGAAGACGCGGGCGGCACGTGGGACGGCGCCGGGAGGACCGTCAGGGGAGACACGACGCCGACTACATCGACACCAATTAGCCACTGCTCGTGCAAGTATAAAAGGGGGGGCGGGAATGTACACTTACACGCCGGCGCCGGCTTGGCCTTGTCATTCATGCTTGCGATAGGGGGGTATTCGTCCGGGTCCATGGACAGAGCGGACAGCGCCGCCTCCACCCCCCGAGACAGATGGGCGTTTTCGAACTCGGGCTCCCTCGGCGGCGGCGGCGTCACGGGCGGCGTCGAGGGCTCCGAGTCGGACGACGGCGTCGACGAGCCGGCAATCAGCTGAATCACCTCGCCGACCGTCTTGCAGGTGATAAAGGCCGTCGAGTCCACCTTGACGCCGAGCTCCTCGAGCATGCGGTCCGAAATGGTCAGCGCGAGCAGGGAGTCGACGCCCAGCCCCGCGAGCTCGGCGCCGTCCTGCGCATCCGAGACCGGGGCCCCGACCTCCTCGGCAATAATGGCCTTGAGCTTGTCCGCCGGCACGCCGTACTTGTGCGGCGGCAGCAGCGCAGGCGGCTCCGTCGACGGCTCGCCATCAGCCGCCGGGGCCTGGCTCCCGAAGACGACGGGCTGCGAAGGGACCGGCTTTGCCGTCGCCGGCTTGGGCTTGGGGAGCACCTTGTCGAGGATGCTCCTCTGCACCGCGGAAAAGGTCACGCCCTCGTACACGGCGACAATGTCCGTCGCGCCCTCGCTCAGGATGTACACGTCGCCAATGTAGGCGCCCTTGTCCTTGGGCTGCATCTTGAGATAGGTCGTGTACGTGACGTCTTGGGACAGCGGCTCCAGGAGCTTCATGTTTTCCCAGCCGTGGTTGATGAAGACCTGGTTCTTGGAGTCGACCTCGTCGTTGGCATTCATGGTGAAGCCCGTGATTTGGCCCAGACTGTCGAGCCAGTACGGCGGCGTCATCCACTTGTCGGCCGTCCCGGGCGGCGTGTTGAACTTGACTCTGGCCGACGACTCGAGTTCTGCCGAGCGCATGACGAGTTCGCGGCAGCCCTTGAACGAGGGACGGTAGTCGACGAGAGCGCTGAAGAGCTTGTAAAACATGCCCGTCTTGATCAGGTGGACCGACCCCGAGTCGTCGTGGACCGATCGTCGGAGGTCGTCGATGCGCGCCCTGACGAGAAAGTCGCGCCGTTTAAAGTCCGCCCTCCACTGGCTCTTGTCCGCAAAGAACCCGGTGCACTTTGCGTGGTGCGCCGTTTCCGCCCCCGTGCTGGAGATGCTGGACATGGTAAAAGTCGCCCGCCGTGTCGACCACTTGACCGCCGCCTTCATCTCCAGGAGATGGGACGGGTCGTCGTTGAGCACAAGGGCCTTGTCGGCACTCATGTCGGAGACTTCGACGCCAATGTCGGACTTGTCAAAGCCCACGGCCGACTGCTCGAGGAGCCGCGTGAAGAGCGTCAGGGCCATGTCGGCATACACGGCCGAGGAGCACACCGGCTGCCCGTTGACCTTGTGCGCCAGGAGCACCTCGCGGAAGTCGGGGTGCTGGATATCAGACCGCGCCGTGATCTGCGCCTCGTCGCCCGAGTAGTGCTCGTGTATAATGTCCTGCACCGACGTCGTCAACGGCTTCTGCCGGGCGACGGGGGCAGGCGATGCCAGCGGCTGCGGCGGCGGCGGCGCATCGCCCTTTGTCAAGCACCAGTCGTGGACATAGGGGATCCAGTGGCTCTTCAACTCCCACTTGTAAAAGGGCAGACACAGCACCTGTTTGTTGTGCGTCAGGCCGCTGTGGTATTCGCCCCAGTTGATGGCGAGACCCGAGTTGTACAGGCTCGTCAAGGTCGACGTGAACACCTTCCAGTCCGCCTCGCCGCGCCGCAGCGAAGGAAGCGTCCTCGACGACGTCCCCAACGTGGATTTGAGCATGTTGCCGCAGACGGGGTGAGGCCCGACTTCGACCCAGACCGTCTTGTCCGAGACCACTTCCGCTTCTGCCGCAGAAAGCAGGCAGCCGCGGAAATTCACCGTCTCGCGACAGTGCCGCGTCAGATAGGCGGCCGGAGATGCCAAATCGGCCGCGCTTCTGACTACTTTGCCCAGAAGAGGCGACAACAACGGAACAGCGGGATCCTTGAATCTCACCGAGCCGCAGCTCTGTCGGAAGCTCTCCAGCATCGGCTCTACCTGGGCAGAATGAAAGGCAAACTGAACCTTGAGCAGCGTCGTCTTGACCGATTGCGCGTTGAGCACCGCCGCCAACGAGTCAATCTGGTCCTTGGGCCCGGCCACCACCGTCTCCTCCGGCCCGTTGACGCAGGCAATCTCCAGGCCGGGCCGGCCCAGCAGCGAAGCCACCCTGTCCGCGGACGCCTTGACAGCCAGCATGGCATGCGTCCCCACGGAGCAGTACTTGCTAAGAAGAGCCGCTCTGGTGCCAACGAGGTGCACGGCATCCGCGTCGGAGAGCACCCCGGCCACGTTCATGGCGGCGTACTCGCCGAGGCTGTGCCCGACAAGTACGTCGGGAGAGACGCCGAGCGCCATCCAAAACTTGCCGAGGGCCATCTGCAAGCAGCTCATGGCCAACTGCACCTTGACGGGGGAGAGCTGCTCCATCGGGGCGTCCGCCGTGCCCTGGAGCACGTCGAGTATGGACCCAAAGCCCTGCAGCCGAACAATGTCCTCCAGCCCCGTCACCAGGGACAAGAACTGCGGGTGCGCGAGGAGCTCCCTAGCCATCGAGAGGTACTGGGTGCCTTGGCCGGTGAAGCAAAACCCCACGGGGGTCGTACTCCCCGTCGTGGAAAGGCATTTGTCCGCGTTGGCCGCGCTCGCAAGAGCCTCCCGGATGTCGCGGATGCTGGCGCCCGTGACGGCGGCGCGGTAGCCGTAGTGGACGCGCCGGGCGGTGGTAGTAAACGAAAGCGAGCCAAGGGGAACATCCGGATGGGCATCGAGATACTTTTCCAGCGCAGCAAGGTTATTCTTAAACGCCGTCTGCGTCTTGGCCGACACGGCGACAATGTGCAGCGGCCGGGGGTCGTCGTCCGCCGCCGCCGACGCCGCCGGGGCGTCTTGCACGAGGACAGAAGAATTCCCGCCGGCGGCGCCGAAATTATTCACAAATGCTATTCTGCCCGACGGCGCGTCTCTGGGATCCGGTCTCGGCCACGGCGTATCCTTCATCGCAATGTGGACGTTTCTCCGCCCAAGGTCCAGGGGGAAGTTGCGGTTGATTTTGGTCTTGATGCCCACGTGCCGAGGGATCGAGCTCTTTTGCATCATGAGCAACACTTTTATCAGCGACGAGATTCCAGAGGCAGATTCTCCGTGGCCGATGTTTGCCTTGACTGAGCCAAGGTACAGGGTTTCATCGCGGCGAGAGCCCTCGGGCGCAAAGACGTTGAGGACAGAGTCCATTTCGCACGCGTCGCCGTGCTGCGTGCCGGTCCCGTGCATCTCCACGTAGCTGACGCGGGAGCTCTCGACATTGGCAGATGTCAAGATCCGACTAAAGATGGCTCTTTGCGCGCCCGAGTGTGGTCTGGTGATGGACACGGCCTCGGCCGAGTGGTTTGTGTAGGCTCCGAGAATCGTGCCATAGATGGGGTCGCCGTCGAGCAGCGCATCGTCAAGCCTCTTTAGCAGAACCGTCGCCACGCTCTCTGCCCGGCAGTACCCGTCGGCGCCGTCATCAAACGTCTTGCAGTTTCCGGTGCGTG